CCTAAACCTTAAAGCCCCACATCCAAGGCTGCTGACTGACACTTACGCCTGCAATTTCCTTGAAGCTCTGGGACCTGTGACGGAAGAAGAGCCGGAGGCTCCCCCAACTCCCAACCCAAAGGGTTCTAAGTATGTATATGGCACCAAGTAGGGCTTCTCTACTAGGAATTGGTAATATGGTTTGAGTGAATATACCCTATATAGGTACTTAAGATCTTCTGTGCAGTAAGGGGCTTAAAGTTTAGGCTGCAGCGTGTATGGTGTTTCATGACGGACCTGAACCCCACGCCCTAAGCCCTAACCATGTTAGCGGACTTAGGGGCTCCCTCAACTCCCACCTGAAGCACGGGGATGGGCAGCAAAAAGACCCCTCTCCCAATCGCAGTCCTGTTTCGTTCATCTTGTTTCTGTTTGTCCGCTTTTCTCTCCACACACACACACACTCTCTCTCCCTCTCTGTCTCTCTATTTCTCCCTGTCTCTATCATTCGATCTTTCTTGATGCTTTTGAGCGTTCAATTCTCGTTTGTGTTTTGCATGCTCCCCGAAAGGGCAGTCAACTCGATCGGTTTTGTTTCTTCAGGAAGTGCTTTTGAGAGGCTTTTGCAAATTTAGATTTAGTCTAGTAGTCCCCCATTCCTGCTTCTGTTGAGAACACCAGTGTTTGGCAATATGCCTATCTGGCTGGCCTCACCCTAGTGAAGAGGTGTGTCCATCTGTGCCTTTTGAATGGGCTGGGGCCCTAAACCCTTCGCCCGACCCGGCTTCTATCCTCCTATGAGTGGTGAACATTATGGACGATTATCGTCAACATCGGTTCACTCTCTCTATTCTTAGATGGTAGGGGGCGACTTAAGCCCGAACCCGAAACCCTCAGCTTGCCGTAAGCCCTAATTAAAGTAGCTCTGGCTTCGTACCTGCCAGACCGCATGAATGAATGGCTGTAGCAAGCCTAAGTGGGCCCCTAGGTTGCAGGGTTTAGGGCTTCAGGCCCTGGGTTTAGGGCTTATAGGTTTTGGGTTTAGGGTTCGTGGTTCCAGTTTGAGGGTGCGGGGTGCTGCATGACTTCCAAATATCAGTATTCCCTCTGGTGTATGTGTTGCTACGTGCTTGGATTGCCGGATAGCTACACAAGTCCCAGGAGCTACGTGGTAACTCCAGTTCTCTCAGTATTCCCCACCCCAATATGCCCCTAGAATCCCTGTAAAGGGCCGCTTGCAGTGCAAAGCCCGGTTCTTAGGAGACATCTCTTCAGAAACCCTAAACCCTAAACCCTAAACGAATTTAGGGTTTAGGGTGGAGCCCATCCCCACCTTGAGGTTCAGGGCTTTATTGGCTTTAAATGGGGCTAAGGGTTTTAAAGCTCTTGGCGGAAAAGCTGAAGGCCAAAAAATAACTCGTGAAGACATACCGTCAGTCCTAGTTTTTGCAGATGAAGCCTCTCAACCATGAACTTGAAACCGTACACCTTACATGAGCGATAGTCTAAACTCCTGACAAGGGGCGTTCGATAGGAGACTATTTATAGGGTGCCTATGACGGGCTTATGAAGGGGGACACTAGGAGTTTAGACTATAGCTTAAATGACAAGACAGGAAGACCAAACCGCCCGAGTAGTCCATGATGCGTTCCTGGACCGCCTCCTCCTTGACGCAGTGTCAAGGCGCTGGGCTTCAGAGTTTTTGAAGAGTTTCTGGAGAAGGGCTTAGGGTGAAGCGCTTAGGGGTCACCATTTTCTACCGTGATTAGACGGGCCATTGTGATGACAAGGTTGGGGTGGAGGGGGAGCATTTTGGCCGTTTTGGCCTGTATTCCTTTATGGGTACTAGTCAGCAGTCACGACAAGTAATTACACGACCCAAAAACAAGGTTGGCCTTACATACGAAGATGCTGACATGTCTTTGACTTGGGGTTACAGGTAAGCGCTGTGGGAGGAGATGACTGGCTTTTAGGGAGATTTTGCCTAAGAACTCGGGTTTTAGGATTTTGGGTTCGAGGGTTCCAAGGTTTAGGGTTTTAGGGTTTTAGGGGTTTAGGGCTTTAGCCTTTAAAGTCATTCGTAGCCTGTGCGTGTGTCTTTCTCTTGCCCTCGGGATCACAGAGCCGCCGTCTTCGAGGATCTCCCTGCTCCCAAAACGTTCATACACTCAGATAGTATATACTTAGGACCCAAAGGGATTCCCACATAATTACTTTAGGGCCCAAGTATATATTATGTAGCTACATGGAGGCTCTGCCAGTGGTTCTACAAGTTGTGACCTTTGGCCCTTAGGGTGTAGAGTCTAGGGTCCCCAAGCCCCAAACCTTCAACCCTAAACCCTCATCCCTAGACGCTCAACCCTAAACCCTCAAGGGCTTCTTTTGCCTTAGGGTTGCCATTAGGCACTTCAGCATATTGAGTTTTTGCTCAGGCGCAGGCCAGGTAGGGACCTCAACTTCGGGCTAAGCAAAAAGCCCCATGTGAGCTATGGTCTAGACTCCTAGTATCGCCCTCAATTCCACCCCCGACCCTACAATACTCCGCTATATAATCCTTTCTGTAACTCCCTTTAAGGAGTTTAGACGCCTAAAGCCAAAACCCTATATAATCCCCTGTATATACATATATACACATATATATACCCCCCTCAAGGATATGTTCTGGTGTTTGAGACCGTCCTTTTTCTTGGGCCCAAGCCTCACGCTATATGAGCTATAGTCTAAACTCCTGAAAGGGGGTTATATAGCGGATTATATAGGGTTTAGGGTCTAAGCTCCTTAGAGCAGGAGTATATAGAGGAGAATATCGGGAAGAATTCTAGGGATTATGAGGGATTATGAGGGGGCATACTGGTAGTTTAGATGATAGACCATAGAATGCAGAAGCCATGACCAGTGCAATTCCCTCGGAGTCCTCGTTTCCATTATGTAAGTGTTTTATACAAGCGTTATATGGGCATTACATATTTTGGGCGTATATTGCACCCCACAGCCATAATTATTCAAAAGCCAAATCCTGAACCCTAATCCCCAAGCCCTAAAGCCACCTGAACCCTAAACCCCCCGAACTAGCCCAAACCATATACTTGGAGGGTCAGGGGGACTCTGTAAGTAGGGTAACAATCCCTATAATCCATGTAGTAACCCTAGGTATCCCCATCATTAACCCACAAGCCCTAAACCCCAAAGGCTAAACCGTAATCCTAATTCCTAAACGCTAGGTATCCCCATTATTAACCTGCTTAGTAAGTCCCCCTGACTTTGCAAGTAGCTCCATTGCGGCCTTTTAGCCTGGCAAGGCGGGTGAGGCAAACCGTTCTCCTGGGATCCGGCCTTGAAGCCTCGCTTCAACAGCTCCTCAAGGGTTTTAGGGATTCAGTGTTGTAGAATTTAGAAATCAGGGTTTAGGAATTGAGGAATTCAGGGTTAAGGGTGTAGGGTTTAGGAATTTAGGGTTCAGGTTTAAGTTTCTGGTTTAAGAATATAACATAGGGGAATATAGGGGTAATATAGGGAGAATGGAAAAGAACATGGACACCATTGTAATGGGGCTAGACAGGGTTTATGGTGTAGAGTTTAGGAATTTACAGTTTAGTGGGTAGGATTTAGGGTTTAGGGATATAGGGTGTAGGGATTTAGAGTTTAGGGTGCAGGACTTAGGGTTTACAGATATAGGGTGTGGGGTTTAGGAATTTAGGGTTTAGGGCTTAGGATTGAGGGTTGAGGGTTGGGGCTTAGGGTTTAGGGTACGTACCTGAACCCCCAAAGGTCAAACAATGACCCAAAACCCCTTAAAAAGCCCAAAAGGCAATCATTCTACATAGTTTTGGGGTCCAGGAAAGGTTCCAGGTACCAATATGGGATATAATTGGGATCTCACAGGGGTGCTGCATTGGGCCCAAGTATCTTCCACTGAGCCTTTGGGTTTCTTTTTATGGGTTTAGGGGTTTTGGGGTTTAGGGTTTAGAAATACGATCCGGGGTTCAAGGCACCGGCCGGTTCGCGAGAGTCAAAGCCATGATGTGATTTGCGATCCTGAGAGGGGTCGGGATCCAACCATGAAAGCGTGTTCCTGTTCTGCGACCATTTATTGAGTACATAAGCACATGTGAATCTTGGTTCCCAGAAAGTCCAATATCCCTCAATTAGAGAATCTACCTTAAATCATAGTAGGGATCCCTAATATGATTCCAGGTATATGCCCTAATTAAGGAACATTGGACTTCCTGGGTTGTTCTGCCAATGAAACCCATTAGCTTCGTCACTTTGTGGGTCCATGTGTAGATGCAGTCCTCCTGACAATGCCAGGGCTCATATGGTCTAGTTGTTTAGGGTTTAGGGCCTAGGAGTTGGGCTTCGCAGATGGGAGTTGGGGAATACAAGGGTTGGGGGCCTTTCCCCAGAAGCCGAGTGACCCTCACAATAGTTACTTCTCCTGAGGTTCTTCATTACATAGTCTCACATCAGCACATCCCACTGCCAAGTGCAAACCGAAGCCCTCAACGCCGTCCATCCCAAACACTGCCCTGCCGGTCTGGCACAAGTTTCTTCGCCAGAGCGCCAAAGGCTCTTAAGTACCTGTATCGGAAAGAAGACAAACCCCACTCTTAATCTCTAACGTGGCAAACCTAGGCCACTGCCCGTAAGATTGAACCCACAACCCCTTGTTATTCAATATTATCGTTTGGGTTCTACTATATGAAGCCAGGAATATCAGGGGGTGGGAGGTTTTGGGAGAGGGGATCTCTTTGAACCATTTAGAACCCTTTAGGGTTGATTCTCTTGTTAACCCAATGCCCCAAACCTCATCTTTGCAGCCAACCTGGTAATAGGAAGCCTGGCTACCTACTCACTTGCCTTCTTCCTTCAACCCTGTACACCAAACCCTCGACCCCATAAGCTTCAGAATCTGAAGCTCCCCCCTCCCACCTAGCTTCCAGGATCTTAAACCCTGAGCCCTAAATCATAAATCCTACTTCCTAAGCCCTAAAACCTAAATCCTTCCTCTACAGCTGTTTCAGGATGTTAGAGCCTTCCGACTGCAGCTGCCTCCGCAGCTGAAGGTCGGCACTGGTAGGTCAGAAGCAAGGCCCTAAGTCTCTACGTTATATAGGGAATTATATTGGGGAGACTACTATAGGGGTTATTAAGGGGATACTGGGAGTTTAGACTATAGCTCACATGATCCAAAAAAGTGTTCTATAACAGGAGTTAGTAATATGGCTTTTGTTGGTATACCATATATGGGGATTTCCCAAAATTAGGGGTACCCTTTTCAGGGGTCCCCATAATAAGGACTATAGTATTTGGGGGTCTGTCCTGGGGTCCCCCTATTTAGGGAAACTACATGAAACTACTATATAGGCCCTGGGGTTAGTTGCAGAGGTTACGCGGATGAAAGGTTTTTTAGTTTAGGCGCTTTGAGGTTCAGGATTTTGGGCTAAAGGGTCCCTCAACCCTAAAACCCACACCCTATAGCCCCCTTAAGTAGATAGAATATGGCTTTGGGTATATTATAATAAGATCCCCATATACCCCATATTCTATCTACTTGAGGGGGACTATAACCCGGGGCGTTTTCACTTCCATGGCTAACCCTAAACCCTAAACCCTTTTTTGTTTTTTGGTGTAGGCAATGGGATGGCTGAGGACTTGCATGGGGTTAGTTAATTCAGGGTTGAGCATGTGCGCTATTGTCTGAACTCCTCGTATCCCCCTTAATACCCCCTATAATTCTTCCCCTTCCCTCCAACCCTAAGAATTTAGCCCTGAACCCTAAACCTAAGCCCTAAACCCTAAGCCCTAAACCCTTCGAGGGCTTGGGTTAAAATCTTGTTGGATGCTGAGATTTGTGCTCCAAAGCTAATAGTGCCGGGCTCCAGAAGCATCAGCTTAGGGATAGCAATAGGGTTTAGGGTTTTTGGTTTTTAGGGTTTAGTTTAGGGTTCAAGGTGGTGTAGGGATGACAACAGTCGTAACCCTGATGGTCCAAGGCCCCAAATATTGGGGCTTTGGGTCCTAAATACTCGGTATTTAGGCGCTAATACCCCATTTTGAGTCCTTTGACCCTTAGAGTAACACAATAGAGTATGATGCACATACTATATGGGATGGTATCCTTCCCGAAACAGAGCACCCCGATATAGATTCCAAAATGCTATAATACTTTCCTTCTCACGTAGAAGGGCCCTCCTGCCCCCTTAAAGTATAAATACGCCAGCTCGGATTTTATGTTAGAGGGAGGGTGTTTGACGTAGGACCGGAACATTCGGGCTTCGATAATATGATCAGATTGAAATTCAGTTGAAATGAATGAAATCGCCGAAATCAAATACAAATCGATTAAACCAATTAAAGTCACAATAACCACGTAAAGTCCAATTAACACCAGTTGAACTCTCCTGAAATACAAATACAACCCTTTAACAGCCATTTCGCATCGTAACCAAATCAATAATAGAACACAGTAAAAAAACGCGCTGCAACCAATCAAAACCGCATTTAGATGTGTATACACTTCTTTGTAAAAACAAAAAAACGTTCAAACACAATAAACATCCACCAGGACCTTCCTTGTACCCTTAATTGGGGATATATGGTCCCTGATAGTGGGTACTTAGGCCCTAATAGAGGGTAGGAGGAGGGTCTAGGCAGGAAACCAAGTTAAGAGCCATGCCAGGGACACCCTAAGTCCGAGGATCCGAGCCGCAATTGAGTTTCGTCTTGGAATTTTGGGAAACGCGTGTTTTATGTGGGGGGGGGTCGGTAAATCTTTGCAGGAGCGGATCAATCCCTATGATTGGGACCACCCTTATAAAGCCCTAAACCGCACTTTCGGGAAATTCCTATTCATTTTCTGGTCGACAGCAACAACTTGACCAAACGCGTAGCCCAGCCAAATCAAGAGGTCATAGAAGTCGATGACCCACGAGTACATGAGGCTGACCCGCGTATCGCGACATGAGTTGTGACGGCGGTTGAGGGTTCAGGGAAGCAGGCTGATTGCGTTGCTTCCAGTGCCACGTGTTCGCACAATAAGCCATTTCCTGTCCTGCGCACCCAAGTTCCTTCCTCAGTTTTTGTCAATGATTTTCGGAATATCGTTCTTGTGTTGCGGCTTCTGAAGCCATGCGAGTCCATTTGAAAAACCGAAGCCCCCAATCACGCTCAAAGCCTGAATCTCTTGATGGACTGCTTAAGGCTTTGGGCGTTCTGGGATTTATTCTAACCCTAAACTACAGCGACTGTCACGCTCCAACTATATCCAAAATTTGCGGTCTGGGCCTTTCACTGGCTCGCTCATGGCCTACACTGCTGTAGCCGTGGCCACTACAACCCCAGATAAATCTCTGCAGCCAACAAACCCACTAAATCCTCACCCTGGGTTGAAATCCCAAAAGCCCCGAATACCTAGAGTCCCCCTTCAGTAGCTAGAATATGGCTTTGGGTATACTATAATAAGACCCCCAGGTACCCCATACTCTTTCTACTTAAGGGGGATTATAACGCTAGAATCTACTGCCCAACCGGGCCCGAACACCCTCCACCCCCTAAATCGGATCCTTGAAGTTAGGATGGGCTGTTCACTACTTAGAGGGTCAGAGGGACTGAGTAAGTTAGCATATTATTCGTGATAACTAGGGTTACTATAACTTGCTAAGTAAACTTCATGTTTGGATCCACAACGGACGGATTTAACGAGGTTTGTAAGATGTGATGCGGTCAAAACCCTAAACCTCCAGAAGATCTAAACCCTTCTAAGCCCTAAACCCTAACCCAGTTTTATTTAACATTTCCATACATATATATACATATAACCCCTAAAGAATCCTTGTTGCCATATTCTTTTCCAGTGGATCTCCAGCATAAATTACAAGCATTTGTAGGAGCGTAAAACCTAACCTACCAACTAAGACAGAACTCCTGCCCAATCCTGAACCGTGCGCTCTAACTTCTAAACCCGTTGAAAACTTTAACCCCCAAAACCTTAAACCCCGTGTCTCTCAAACCCACAAACCCTAAACTGCTGCACATTTACCAGGACAGGGCTCCTATAACAGCCCTTGCTAATTTGCCTGAATCCACCTACATCCTACACCCCAAATACTCGTTTGACCAGTCTTTTCCATTATCCCTATAATCCCCTACCCCTGAACCCTAAACCCTAAACCTCTACCCCTGAAACCCTAAACCCAAAATAGCCATAAACTCTAAACCCTTACACCCTAAACCCCATGATCCTTATAATCCCTATAATCCCCCATATTCCCTTTAAAGGGGTCCCAAGGCTCCCTTAAACCATAAATACCCCCTTTAAGGGGATCCTAGGCTCCCTAACCCTTAAGCCCTAAATACAACCTTTTAAAGCCTAAACCCTAAACCTTAAACCTAAATAACCCCTTTTAAAGGGATCGCACTCTCCCTAAGAGGCCAAGGCGGTACTCCTCGAGGGCCTCGGCGCGAGACCCAGGGCGGCGCTGCGGCGTCAGCGGATTGCATGTGGAGAACACCTTGGGGGCTATTAGGGGTTTGGAGGTTTAGGGCTTTAGGGCTAAGAGCTCTAGAATTTTCGGGTTTTAGGGTTTCAGGGTTTGTTTTTTCCAAGGTTTTCAGGGTTTTAGGGTTTAGGGGGTTTAGGGTCTAGGGTTTTAGGGTTTAGGGGTTTCAGGGTTCTAGGGTTTGGGGTTTTATAGGGTCTAGGGTTCTAGGATTTTGGGTTTTAGGGTCTATGGTTTTAGGGTTTATGGGTTCAGGGGTTTAGAGGTTTAGGGGTTTAGGGTCTAGGCTTTTGGGGTTTTGGGCTTCGGGTTTCAGGATTTCGGGGTTTTAGGATCTTGGGTTTCAGGGTTTTAGGGCCTTGGGTCCAGGAATTGGAGATATTGCGGCTAGTGATGTGTAACGGGCTTTGGGCTTCAGAGCTTGGTGTCTACCATGCCACTAGGTAGGGCAAAGATTGAATTATAGTCAGGTGACAACCTGGAGTGTCCTGCGAATACTATTCTAGTGCACTTGAAAATCTTAGGTTAGGTCTTACGTGTTTCCCAACGCGCAGAGGTCTAGGATTGAGTGGGTTCACGGTTGCTTATTATTGTGCATGGTATAGATGTTTTTATACCGTTTAAGGTCTAGAGTTCGGCATGCAGGGTTATCGATTTAAGGCTTAGGATTGTCTGGGGTTCGGTTTCTGTGGGCTCAAGGGATTCGAGAAATTCTAAGACCTGCTCTTGTGCAGTTCTTGAAGTTAGACGTTTACATCTAACCTTCATATCTTCTATGTTCTCTTTGTCAGAGGCACATAGAGCCTCGCAGGCAATTTTTGTGCTGTACAAAATGCAGTCATGGCTTTGGGATCATAGGCCCGTTCTGTGGCGAAAGGCGCATGCTGTGCCAGTGCTAACTTGTGCTTGGTCAGTATACTCCAGGGGGATCAGAGTTCTAGATTGAGGGTTCGGATCATGGGTAGCATGCTGTTGCATTTTGAACCAAGGTTTGGGGCAGTTGTTTTTGGGGTTGAGGAGTCTAGGGTGGTGTGACTATGCTCTATGTGCGGTTCACCGCGCCGACCTTACCAGCTGTTGGTGCTGAGAAGCTTCTAGCATACAGCAACGTTCTTGCATTATTCTAATTCGTACCACTGCTTTTGTCATCTTCAGAGGCATTCATTGCAATTTCCCCCTTAAGTTGAGAACACCTGCCTATCAACTTGGCTTCTGCGCACTTACGGGAAAAGGGTTGCCGCAAGAGTCTGTATGAATGACCCCTTGGCTAAAAACATGGGGCAAATGCTGTGGGAAAAGTTGATAGCAGCTCATATAACTGTAGCCGAAAACCCATTTTCTCATTGAATAGGCCCGTACATTACAATCGTCCGCTGGATGCTCAATGTGATTCTCCAATGTCCTGTACAAAATCCCCTAAACTAATTAAAGTAGGCTACGTCCCAAGTAAACTCCAGATCCAAATCCCCAAGCCCTTAGCCTTTATTCGTGTTCTAAATCATCGGCCAAGTCATTGCGCGAATGCTAACTGAACCCTTCACACTAAACCCTCTCTACGTACATTTATTACTGTAGTAACACAATAACACCCCAAAAGCTTTTGCTATTTCTACGCTCGAAATCCTACATTCTCGGCGCTTAAACTCTGAATCCTAAACCCTCCCGGCACACCTCCTTGTTCTAATCAAACAAACCCTAAACTCTGGAGCCTAAACCCCTAGGCCCTTAATAGTAGTTTCCATGTCCATTCTCCCTACATAACCCCTATGTTGCCCCATTCTAGCCCCTATATCCCCTTTTAAAGGGACTTGGGGTTTTCATGTCATTTTCCCTGCTCTTTTCCATTTGATTCTCCATTATCCCACATATAACCCAATATAACCCCAAACCCTAAACCCAACATAACCCTTAAACCCCCAAATCCAATACAACCATTAAACCTTATATATCCCTACATACCCCCCAATATAACCCTTAAACCCTAATTAGGCCCTAAACCCTGAAGCCTAGATATCTCGATATAACCCCTATATAACCCCTATAATCCTTTTAAAGGGATTCCTTTGTCGGAAGTGAAGCCCAGGTTTGGCGGCAGCTGACGCAGCGACTCGGGCAGCTTTGTGCGTGGAGGGGGCAAGGGTGGGTCGGGTCAGTGGGATTGAAGCGTTCGGGTATAGGGTTTAGGGTTTAGGGACCCTAAACCCTAAACCCTAAACCTATTTTGGGGTCTAAGGGTTTAGGGTTTGAGCCTTGGGGTTTAGGGTTGTTGAAGGTTTGGGATTTGAGGTGTAGAGCCGTGTGTGGGGTGGCAGCTCCGTTCGCCGGCAGTATTTCCGAGGTCTGTGCTCAAAAAGGTGCGGGGTTTTGGTTTAGCAAGAGTTTACGGTACGAGTTTGAGGTCTACCCCTCCACGATCGAAGACAGGCTAACACGGGGTACCTTGCTAGTACTGCCGTCCTTCTTGCAAAAGGCCTTTCAAGGGCTGCGCTTGTTCGTCTGCGGAAGGGTAGGATGTGGAGTTTAAATCGTTATCGCAGTGAGTAAGGTAATTAAGAAGGAGATTCGCAGGCGATTCGTTAGGTATGAGTTCAGCCATCAACTACGCTGCACTTTCTACGGACCCATGGGAGGTTATCAACACGGGGAGCCTCCTCTAATCACTCTCAACGACACGATTGCCCTACTGAAGGGATCCCCCAGATCCCCCAATACGTAATCCATGTACGGTCAGGCGTTTCGAGTCTACTTTAAGTCCTTCAGCTTCAGAACTTCATACTATAGATTCTTACGTGAATCCCTGAAACTGAAGGTTTGGGGCTAAGAGAGGGGTTATTTTGAACACCTCTGACAGCCTTCAGCTTTACGGCTTCTCTTTGCAACACTGGGTTTGCTGTTAAGAAGCTCAAATTAACTTACCATAACACGGGTATGCAGTAAATAATAAGGTTTCCTTACTATAGCAATCCTAACCCTTAAGCCCTAAATAGAAAAACCGCAAGGATCCCAGAAAGCCATGCTTGTTCATCATCAGCATTCCGCCTGCGGATGCCGTAGAGGCCATACCGCTCCTTTCCGAGTCACTCGGTGGCAAGAAGATGCGGCAGTTTTTTCCTTAAACAGGGGGCCTCCAATATAGCTCCCCATATACCAGTATCCTTATTACGCCTATTCTGGGATACCCCAATTCGAGGGGTTCCAAAGTTCCAAAACTGAGGGGCCCCTTTAAAGGAGGATATGGGGATTTTTGGGGGATGTATAGCTTGGAGGGATTGAGATGTAAAGTTTCCAAAACTTGGGGGACCCGGTTTTGGACGTCCCCATAGTAAGGAGTTTGTTGATAGAAGAAATCCTGCGCCACATAGGTAGGGTTTCGGGTCTAGGGTTCTGCGTCCCAGTATGGGAGAAACGCCCAGGATTAGGGTGGTGCAAGACATCTTCCAGCAAGTTCACGACAGTTCAACACGGATAAGTTTTGCAACGGCTGCGCAACAAATTTCCCTGCAACGGGTTTACCTAGAACTCCAAAGTAGGTAAAATGATGGCCTAAATCCCTGAAACAGCCCAAAAGGCAATTACCCTACATACTTTTGGGGTTCAGGCAGAGGTTGGGGTCCAGGTTTACGATTTAGAGTTTTGGATTTAGGTTGTTATGCTCCCCTGACCCTCTACGAAATTTTGTGGCCTCAGCTGCGGAGCCTTCGCAGCCCCCGTGTGCCAAGGCTAAGGCTCTTTGGAAATCCAAATCATGTAGTATTTTCAAGTAGTTGGGAGGGGGCATCACAATTATGCACAGGAGCCCAGGCAGGCCCCATGGGCCCTGACACGGTTTAGGGTTTAGGGTTTAGGGTTTCTCGTTTCTGGAGCACTTTTTCCACAAAGGTTTGCCTCAGAAGGCAGCACGGTGGTCGCGCAGGTGCTCCGTGCGGGCCTGCCAGAAGGCTGGATAGCCGAGTTCATTGCCTTGCTGGTTAGTTTAGGGTTGAGGTGTTTGGGGTTTGGGGGTTTAGGGTTAGGAGGTTAGAGTTTCGGGTGAATATGTTCTATAGGGATGAGATGGGGATTCGATTCCCTCATTCCCTTCAGAGTCAGGGAAGCAGTAAGTTGCTGGTTGTTAGGCTGATTACATGTATGCTTGGAGGGCCAGGGGTGCTTAGCAAGTAGTTTAATAAGCCCTACAAGCCATACAGTAACCCCAGTTATCCCCAGTAATAATCTACTTACTAAGTCCCCCTGACCCTGCAAGTGGGGGGATACATGAGATCTAGTACAGTGGTTCATTCCTCCACTCTCTCTTGCCAATCACTAAGGCTCACACAGGGTTGAGGTTTTATAGCAGTCTATGGTTCAGGATTTTCATGTTTCAGGGTTTGAGGTTGAGGTCTCGGGTTTAGGGCTAGGGTTTGTTTACCTAAAGGCACATGCGTGCGTGGCCTTGAGTAGGCGATGCGCACCCTGATGCGGACCTGACCTCCCAGCTACTTAGTATCGGAGTTTCTCAAACATTCGCCGTATAATCCGATACCGAGCTCCGCATGTACGATGTGAGATCATTGTTTACAGGTAAAATGCCCTAGGCCTTGTCGCAGTTTTCGTTCATGCAGTGATGGTCTGAGCACCAGCAGTAACATTGGCAAGTGTCATTCTTCTCACAACCTGGATTGCCATTTCTTCCTGGACCTCAGAAGTAGGTAGGCCAATGGCCCAAACCCATCAAAACAGGCAGAAAGGCACTTTTTTTTTCCGCAAATCTTGGTGGTTCAGGCAGTCCTAAATGCCATGTAGCTGTCATCGTAAACCCTAAACCCCAAACCCTAAACCCTAAAATTTCAACCCAAAAGGGTGGAGACACCTAAACCCTAAATCCCTAAGCCCTGAACCCTAAACCCTCATCCTTAAACCCTACTCCCTAAACCCTAAACCAGTCCCAGATGAGCTATAGTCCAAACTCCTAGTATCCCCCTTAATAACCCTAATAAGGCTCCCCTATATAATCCCCTATATAACCACCCTTTAAGGAGTTTAGACCATAGCTCAGATGCGTAGCCCATGCCTTGCAGGTACATCAGGCGTTGATGCCGAGGTCGCCGCCTTGAAGTCAGTCTTTGAGGCTCCTGGGTCTGGGGTTTTAAGGGTTTAGGGTTCTAAGGGTTTAGGGTTTTAAGGGTTTAGGGTTTAGGGTTTAGGGAAAGAGGGATTTAGGGATTAGGGTTTAAGATGGTTTAAGGGATATAGGGATCTAGGGATTTAGGGTTTTAGGGTTTAAGGGAAAGAGGGATTTAGGAATTTAGGGTTTCGGGGTTTCAGGGATATGGCGATTTAGGGATGTAGGGATATATGGTTTAGGGGTTTAGGGAAAAATGGTTCAGGGATTAGGGTTTAGGGATATAGGGTATAGGGATTCAGGGTTTCGGCGTTAAGGTTTAGGGATATGGGACCGGGTCAAAACCAAAGGCTTGTAACAAGGCCAGGGCCCACACACGCGACATACCCCGTTACATGGGGTATGTAACAGGTGCGCGCCTGGCGCGACAAGCC